TGTCTAAACTTTTTCAAGAAAATATTCGTGCTTTTTTGAATCTAGTATGACTATATTTTGTACAAATTTATGTATTAATGTTTTAAAAAAGTTAATTTTTTATTTATTTAATGAAACTAATTAACAAACGCGTCATTTTCTTAATCATTACCTACTATACAGATCTTTTTTTTATGGAATCAATTTATTGAAGAAACCTTAATACTTATAAATATAGAAATTCATTAAGAAAATTAAGAAAACAACCTAAAAGTAAGTAAATGTCTAATTTTGTTATCCCACATAGCACAATAGTATGAGGTAAGGTTATGTTGAATACTAATCGTAAGGCACATAAGGTTACACGATATTGCTGTGGTAGACCTAAGGTGAACTAAAAACTTCCGCCATGGAGGTGAGGTTACATGTTAGGGTGTGGTGACTATATATGATAAGGCCATGGTAACCTTACACGTTAAGGTTGAGGTAACGTTACATGTTAAGGTTGAGGTAAGGTTACATGTTAAGGTTGAGGTAACGTTACATGTTAAGGTTGAGGTAAGGTTACATGTCAAGGCTGAGGTAAGGTAATTATTAAGTTGTAAGGTTGAGGTAAGGTTAAGGTAAGGTTGTGATAAGTTTACCAGTTATGGAAAATATTGAAAAAATAATTAATAAATAAATATTCAATTAAAATGTTAAGTTTGTTGCTCTTCTCTATTTTGGAAACCTGACATGAAGCAGAAAATTTTGAAAACAAATTTGGGGGGACTGGGATTCGAACCCGGGATCGGCGCGCATAAACCTATCATTCTAACTAACTGAGCTAAGTAGAGAACTGGCAGAAGGAAAATTAATGTTGCCTTTAAGGTGAACCAAGAAGATGATTAACTCCTTAAAGGCAACATTAATTTTCCTTCTGCCAGTTCTCTACTTAGCTCAGTTAGTTAGAATGATAGGTTTATGCGCGCCGATCCCGGGTTCGAATCCCAGTCCCCCCAAATTTGTTTTCAAAATTTTCTGCTTCATGTCAGGTTTCCAAAATAGAGAAGAGCAACACACTTAACATTTTAATTGAATATTTATTTATTAATTATTTTTTCAATATTTTCTATAACTGGTAAACTTATCACAACCTTACCTCAACCTTACAACTTAATAATTACCTTACCTCAGCCTTGACATGTAACCTTACCTCAACCTTAACATGTAACGTTACCTCAACCTTAACATGTAACCTTACATCAACCTTAACATGTAACGTTACCTCAACCTTAACGTGTAAGGTTACCATGGCCTTATCATATATAGTCACCACACCCTAACATGTAACCTTACCTCCATGGCGGAAGTTTTTAGTTCACCTCAGGTCTACCACAGCAATATCGTGTAACCTTATGAGCCTTACGATTAGTACTCAACATAACCTTACCTCATACTATTGTGCTATGTGGGATTGTTTTCAAAAAAATTAAAACTTGACAGACAATTAAAAAAAAATAATTAACAAATAGTTCTTTTCAATGTATTAATTTTATTAAAGGTATTATAAAATATTCTTTTGTTTTATTAAACATAACTTTTAAACTATAAAATATAGCAATTTTTGAACCCATATATAATTTAAAATTTTTAATAAAGTTTTCAATCTCTAAATTGTTTATAACAAATATAAACCACTTTTTTCAACTGACCTTGATGAATAACATTTTTTTGATTATTTTATATTAATTTTTTTCTTTAAGTGATGAATGTAAATAAATTATATTATAAAAGAGAGTTCTCTTTTATGAAAAGAAAATTTTATTATTTTTTTTATGAAAAAAATGCTTTTTTTCAATGTTTATAAATAAATAAAAAAAAAATTAAAGCTTTTTTCAAAAATCGGCCTCGAGGAATCTCTTAGGAATTTAATAACGAGTGTTTTATAAAAAAGAAGGCAAAAATTGGTTAAGATTTACGTGCTTTATGCTATTTTGAACTCAGTTCTTCAATTTTAAACCACTGTGGTGGTCGGTGCTCGACGCAACAGAAAATTCAAAATCTCCGGTTATAATTAAAAATACAAAAATTTTTGAAAATTTTTTTTTAAATGATGTTTATTTAAAAGAATGTATATTAATTAACTACCAAAAACATACCCATTAATTTCTAACAAAATAATTTTGAATATTAATTTGTTTTAAAATGATGCAATAATTTGTTATTGTAAAAGAAAGTTATAAAAATTTTAAATGTCGAAAAATAGTTAAAAGTGTTTCTTTAGTTCGTTGTCAAATGTAGATTTTAATAAATGTTTTTACTTTTATGAAAAACTTAAAAAATTTTAGTCCCAGTGGACGCGTGGTTTGACCCAAAAGTTAAAAGACTTTAATTTCTATGTAGCCCTCTTTTTCGAAATTACATCTTATTTTTCAATTTTCACCGAAGCTAGCTTTTTAACTTTAACTTAAACTTTAACTTTAACTTTTTTTAAAGTATTGCTCTAAATATTAATAAGTAAAAGGTAAAACTGCAATAGATTGTGAATTAAGAATCTTATTCTATAACTAGCAAATAATACGCGCGGAACGCGTTATTCCATTTCTTATTATTTTGTAAATTAAAATTCAATTATTTTCATAAATAAGGAAATTCTTCGCAAGAATTAAAATATTTTTATAAATCATAAAATTCTGCAATTTTCATAAATAATAAAATGTTTCGGAGGATTCAATATTGTTTAAAAGAATTTAATTTTCTAAGAATCAATGATTTTCAACATTTTCAGTAAAAATGATTATAAAAAATCTTCATTATTTTCAAGAAAGTTGAAATAAATTTTAAAAACAATTCAATTATTTTAAGGAATTTTAATAAAAATCTTGCCAAGTACCTATTATATTATTTTCAATACAATTTTAATTACATTTTCTCGAAAGAATTCAATTATTTGAAAAATTGTTGTTAAAATTCTTAAAATGAATTCAATTATTTAAAAATTTTTTTATAAAAGCTTTACAAGAATTCAATGATTTTCAGTACATCGACAATTTAATTATTTCTGAAAATAATTGAATTCTTGAATAGAATTTTATTAAAACTTTTTTATATAATTGAATCCCTGCGAAAAAATGTATTATTTCTACAAATAATTGAATTTTTAGAAAATTTTAAAAAATAAGTGAATTTTTGAGAAGAATTTTGTTAAAATTGTCTTCAAAATAATTGAATTCCTGTGAAAAATTTACTGTTAACTAATATTATTGAATTCCTTCGGATAATTTTAGAAAATGTTTAAAAATAATTTAAACATGATTTCTTCAAGTTTTATAATAATTAAAGAGGATCGAGTGTTAAAATCATTATTTTATATTATAAGAATATTGTTACTATAACTTCTTAAGAATTATTTTTATATTCTATTATTATCTAAAATTTAAACTAAAATTTCTTTTTAAATCAATTTTTATTGGAATATTCTACGAGAATTCAATTATTTAAATACAAAAGTAAATTATTTATTGAATAATTGAATGTTTCTTAAAATTTTATTCTTATAATGGATTCTATTAACAAATTTTTAAATAATTGAATTCTTTTGAGGAATTTTAATAGAAATTTTTTTAATAGTTACATTTTTCAAGGATTTCTATTTAAATTGTATTAAAAACAATTGAAATTCTGCAATGAGTTTTATTATTTCTGAAAATAATTGAATTATTGAGAAGAAACTTAAAATTTGTAAATATTTGGATCCCTGTGAAATTTTTATTATTTATGAAAATAATTAAATGTTTGCGTACAATTTTATTAAAATTGTTTTTAAATAATTGAATTCTTTAGAGTAATTTTATTAAAATAGTAGATATTGAAAATCATTGAAATGCGGAAAATTTTTAAAAATAATTCAAATTTTGACAAGAGTTTTATTAAAAGTTTTGAAATTAATTGAATTTTGAAGAAGAAATTTTTTATTCATAAAGATAATAATTGGGATTATGTCGAGATTCTCTTGTAAATTTTGAACATAATTGCATTTTGTGATAAGAATTTTATTACTTTTGGAAATAATTGAATTTCTTCAATCGTTTGTAACTTCTTCAAAATTCAATTTTTTTTAGTGTTTTTAACTAAAATTTTTCTATAAATCCATTATTTTTAATAATTAATTAAATATATATTGACAAATTTAACTAATTTTAGAAGATTTTGAATTATTAAAATTTTTCAAAAACCTAAGTTGATTAAAATTTCTAATTAAATTCATTCAACATTAAAATTTTCTAAAATTTAAATTGAAACCGTTTGAAGTTCATTTATTTATGAAAATTGTAAGCGCTACTCTATTAAAATTGAATTTAATAAATTAATTAATTCTGAAATATTTAAGTAAAATTATTCATTAAATAATTTATTTATTTTATGATAGTTGTTCAAGATTTAAGTTATTTAAAAAGAAATTTTTGTCAGAAATTGAAAAAATTGAAGGTTTTGTAGTAGAATTCGTGGTAATTTTATAGTTTATGAATCAAACAAAAAAGACACAAAAATTCAGAATTTTCTTATGAATTCTAAAAATTTAATTTTTTTCAGAACTTTTAATAAAAATTCCTGACTTTTCCCAGAATTCCCTACGTCAGAATATATGATTATTATATATATATAATTATAATAATATTAAAACTATATATTCCAATTTATATTTTATTTTTAAAATTGCTAATTTTATTTATAAAAGTGAGTGAGAAGTCAGCTACCTAGTTTTAATTGAACAATTAAAATCAATATTTAAATCAATATCTTATTATAGTAAATATTTGAGATATATTGTGAATTTTTTCATGAATTATTATTACGATCACATTGATTTCATGATGGGTCAATAAGATTGGCAATACAGGGACACTTAATGTTATGTAATTGTACGTAAAATTTCTCCAAGTCTTATACACATACACAGATGTTAGACTTTTCCGTTCTTGGTACAATATATAAGCTTAATTTCTATTTTTTCTTGAAAACGTATCACTTTCACTAACCTGCGTGCCAGCGTGCGTCTTCGAGAATAGCGAACGTTCTTCCGCCTTTCCTCAATTTTTCCACCTCAATTCAATTCTCCTCTGTCGTCTCTTTCTCACAAGGTCGACAATATATTACAATAATTAAATGCTAACCCGTACATGTTTCTTGCACAAAAGAAACATTTCGAGTTTCTTTTTTATTTCCCAAAAAAAACTCGTATCACGAGTATGTCCTTAGCTGATTTTCTTTCATTATCAATTCGATTTAATATTCAGGCTATTCTGCATTGCTATTTATTAAAAACACCGTCCCAGTTATGAACTGTCACTGAACCAAATTTTAAATCCAGTTCATTTGATGTTTAATTGCTGAACTTCTTTTGAAGAATTAAAACAACTAAATTCAATATGTGAGCAATATGAATATTGAAGATGTCTCGAATTAAAAATTTTGCATAAACTTCTTATATAACTTATGAAAACATTCCGAGTTTTGAAATGTGTTGAGTTTCGAAAGTGCTCTGCTGTGTTCCAAAACTACATTGAAATTATTTCACAAGCTCTCTATATAATCTATTTGAAAAGTATCGAGAATTATACTCAAAGTTCAACAGTGAAACTTGAAATCTCATGAGTAAATCGGTAATCTGATTAACTTTCACTGTTTTATGGAAGTTTTGATGAAAACATTCTTTCTGACACTGCGCCGTATTACAATAAATTTTCTTTAAAAATCTCTTCTTTCTAATAAAGTTTGGCTAAGTTTTCAAATAGGAGTCATTAAAACTTTTATTTGCTGATCACAATGTTGCAATTCCTTTAGATAATAAAAACTCCTTCAATGAAGTTTTCAAACTTTTGATGAAAATATGTTATTCCAGAAACACCTTTTTCATCAATACACTTAAAAACGCACAATTATTATTTTTTATGATTCAACTGCACTGCACTCACTTTTGTCTTTAGTTGATAGTAAATATTATTCCGAAAGAGGAAGAGAAAACGAAGGATAAGAATCAGATGGAATAAATATAAAAATTATTTTGAATTATACGTGACTTCAATAGTCCAATAATAGAAAATTAAATTAAAAAATTGTCTAAAATTACATTTTGCAAACATTCAAAACTGTTATATTGCGCATATAGAAATAGAAATTGCAGATGTTTTGTTTTTTCAATAATTAAAAATCCAACTTTCTTTGTAATTATAGGAAATAATAATTGTATTGAAGGTCATGATTGCGAAAAAAAAAGAAGGCAATGATAATTTTGGAGCAAAATAATTAAGGATGTTTCACTCGCGCACGTTGGAATTGTGACGGTTGGATAGTCGAGTTCGCCAACCTGCTTGAGAGGAAGCGATTGTAAGACTAAAGTCAGAGATTGGTAGCTGTAAGTGCATGCGTTTCTTATCCCTTCTGTCTCAGAAAGTCGTGGGATTGCTTGGTATCCCCTTACCTCTGAGTTGTCTTTTCAAGAACCATGGTATGAAGATTCCATTGATTTTTTTCACCTAAAGATCGTTCAAGGATTGCGGGTCAACATTTTTTATAGACTTTTTTTCTTCTTTCAAGCTTATATATACTCTTTGAACTTGCACAATATAACTAAAGAAATTCCACAGGATATTATCATCATGTTTTATTTGAGTTATTTATTTTAAAAACAAATAGAATTTATAAAATATGTAGAAAAAGAAATTTTACCAACTGAGTAATCCTTGAAACAAACATAAAATTATAACTCTTCTTTTTTAAAACCGCTGCAAAGTTTTATTATTAATATGGTTCTATCTTTGATATGGTATCATGAACACTTTGATTTCTCATATAATAATTAAATTTATTTAAATATTTTAATTTATATCCAAATTAATGGATATGCATATGAATAAATATTTATCATAGTACAAATAAGAAAATTTTTTTTTATATTTTTTATTCGTTTTTAGCTTATAACATTAAAAGTTATTTATTTTCTAATTGTTAGATTGCAATTCCTGCAATTCTGTTGACGCAATTTGCAAGTCCTTTTTTTAAATATATCCTAAAATTTTACCAAGAAAATTTTGTGAAAAATTCACAAATGTTAGTGAAAATTTAAAGGAATTTTTAGTGAAATTTACCCCAAAATTTTTGGAAAACTCCATATATATTGGTTACTTTTTCACAATTTTTTTTTATAAAAAAATGAATTGCTGGTCCCAAACTATTGCTAGAATAATTCCAATTAATATCTGGGTCATAAAAATTAATTTAATTTACAATTCATAAAAAGTAACCACAGCCGATAATCAGCAGGAGATGAAAAATTATTTTTTGAGCGAACTTTATGTCTTAATTGTTAACAGTTGTTAGGGGTCTTCCATGAACCACGTGGTCCCATTTTTTTGAAATTTCAACCCCCCCCCCCACCCCAATGGCATACTGTTACATGTATTAGCGCCATTCTTTCCTCATCGTGGCCATAGCTTGACCCCCCCTATTCCTTGAAGAGCCACAAAAATTTCTCAAAAATCTTTAAAAACAGGCAAAATTCCAGTAACTTTTTTAAATTTCATACTATTTCCAAGTTTTATATACCTTTTTTTAAATTCCATACCTTTTCCAGGATTTCCAGGCTCTGTGGCAACCATGTTCCAGTTTTTAAAAAAAATCTCATAATTTGTAGAAATGATGTTTAATGTCTATAAAATTCATTTTTAATAATTATTTTCAAAATTTTTTTGAATTAAACTTAGAATTTCAATTTTTAAGTTGAATTGCACAGAGAAAAGGTTAGTTTGACAACTATGATAATTTAAAAAAAATTTAAAAACATGAAAATAATTTAGATAATGCAAATTTTTTAATTGATATTTGTTCAAAATGAGCTAATTTACTTGTATAAGTAGATTATGTAAACATACTGAAAGTAATAGGTAAAAATTTATTTTAAAACTTATACCTATGAAATGTCAAAAGTCACCACATTTTAATTACATTTTTCTAAAAAATAAGTTTATAAAGATGAATATATTCATTACCACTTAATATTAAAGTACTTTCAATATACTTTCATATTATGTGCTAACTTTTTAGTTTGGGGTCATCCATAAAGCATAATGTGATATACTTAATTTCGGAAATTTTAACCCCTTTCCGTCCTGATGCCTTTTTCATTAATATGGAGCATGATATTTTACGGACCCCCTCCCTTGCCCCCTAAAGTATCACATGCTATATGGACGACCCCTTTTATAGTATATAGAAATATGAAGAATTTTATCTTTTATATTATAACTAAGAGTTTTTAATTCCCATTAATATCGACAGATAAACGTTGACCAAGGTATAGAAAGGAATTGAAAAGCACAACATTTTAAATTAGGTATAGAAAAGGTATTCAATTTTAAATATTACTATTTATGGAAAATTTGATGCTCATAAAGTTAATTTTTTATAAGTAAGTAAAATAAAGGATAGTAATAATTAAAATTAAAAAAAGTTTTAAGACAAATTTTACATTATATGTGATTTACATACACAGCACCGAAAATTTCTTGAAACTTGACAGGAAATCGCACTCAGTTTATATAAGCAAACGAAATTTTTATAATTTGGCGAATATCGCATGCAATATTGATACAATATTGCCTGAACATGGCAAGTCAATATTTCCAGTATAATTTTCGCTTAAGTTTGATATTCAATATTTCCTTATATGCGGACATTTAAATAACCTCACAATCTCCATGAGTTTTACCACGCAATTTTTCTAACCTCGATGGGCGAGGTCCTGTCAAGTTTCGAGAAATTCTCGGTGCTGTGTGGGATTTTATTTGCACCCGATTATATGCACGTGGACAGTCGCGGTTGACGCCAGTTACCACCAGTTACAAAGTTAAGCACATTACAACTGTCACTGAAATCACTTTGGTTTGAACAGAGCCACTTTCTTTTCGTTTTTTTAACCTTTTCTCAATTAACTTGGATTTTGATTGGTCAATTTCTGTTAGTTGTCCACCAACAAGCATTTAATTTACAAGGATTTAAAAGGAATTAGACTCTAATATTGTAAACTTTGAGCATTGAAAAGGATTCATTCGCTATATACAGACGAATTTGCCTAGAAGTATTCAAATCTATTATGCTTTAATAGTTTTCGGGGTCGCTGATTACGAATCTGGCATCAGATTTTCAAAATTCAAGATAACGCATCCAATATGGCAGATATTAAAAAAAAAATTTTATTAAAAATAAATTTTATTGGAAAAATGTCTGCCATATTGGATTCGACATTTTGAATTTTGAAAATCTGATGCGAGATTCGTAATCAGCGACCCCGAAAACCCCCCGAGTTATGATTTTCATAAGCTGATTTCATAAACTTTTTGATTAAATGCACATTATCCACTTATTAAAAAACTGCTTGTTTAACTAACATTTAAAGTTATGTAACTTTGATAAAAATTTTTTTTATCATTGCTAACAAATATTTTTAAAAAGCTTAGAGCATTATGGCTTCAATTTCCACTTTAGATCGTGTAATTCCGATGCATTATGTTGACGAGCTATAAAACATTTAGTTACCCCGAGTATACTCGGGGTTAACCGTTTTGGTACAGTCAATTTACCCCGAGTTAACTCGGGACAAACCGTAGGGAGGTTAATAACTCATTGAAAAATTTAATATTTCTTTTGATACACTGTTAAAAGAAAAGTATTATTTCAGTACCAATTTTGGTACTAAATCGTAATTTGTTTCTATTTTGATACCGAAGTCAGCTCTAATTTAGAACTTTCTTTTTACAGTGTATTCTTTAAAAAAAATATACCTCTCGGGACCCACAAAAAGTGTGTAAAAGATGGAGAAGATAGGATAAATAAATAAATAAATAAATAAATAAATATTATATATAAATAATTAATAATAAAAAAATATTATAATATAATAATTATAATAATAATAATTATAAAAAAATTAATTAATAATATTAATAATATTATTATTATTATAATAATAATAAAAATATATATAATATCCCACATAGCACAATAGTATGAGGTAAGGTTATGTTGAGTACTAATCGTAAGGCTCATAAGGTTACACGATATTGCTGTGGTAGACCTGAGGTGAACTAAAAACTTCCGCCATGGAGGTAAGGTTACATGTTAGGGTGTGGTGACTATATATGATAAGGCCATGGTAACCTTACACGTTAAGGTTGAGGTAACGTTACATGTTAAGGTTGATGTAAGGTTACATGTTAAGGTTGAGGTAACGTTACATGTTAAGGTTGAGGTAAGGTTACATGTCAAGGCTGAGGTAAGGTAATTATTAAGTTGTAAGGTTGAGGTAAGGTTGTGATAAGTTTACCAGTTATAGAAAATATTGAAAAAATAATTAATAAATAAATATTCAATTAAAATGTTAAGTGTGTTGCTCTTCTCTATTTTGGAAACCTGACATGAAGCAGAAAATTTTGAAAACAAATTTGGGGGGACTGGGATTCGAACCCGGGATCGGCGCGCATAAACCTATCATTCTAACTAACTGAGCTAAGTAGAGAACTGGCAGAAGGAAAATTAATGTTGCCTTTAAGGTGAACCAAGAAGATGATTAACTCCTTAAAGGCAACATTAATTTTCCTTCTGCCAGTTCTCTACTTAGCTCAGTTAGTTAGAATGATAGGTTTATGCGCGTCGATCCCGGGTTCGAATCCCAGTCCTCCCAAATTTGTTTTCAAAATTTTCTGCTTCATGTCAGGTTTCCAAAATAGAGAAGAGCAACAAACTTAACATTTTAATTGAATATTTATTTATTAATTATTTTTTCAATATTTTCCATAACTGGTAAACTTATCACAACCTTACCTTAACCTTACCTCAACCTTACAACTTAATAATTACCTTACCTCAGCCTTGACATGTAACCTTACCTCAACCTTAACATGTAACGTTACCTCAACCTTAACATGTAACCTTACCTCAACCTTAACATGTAACGTTACCTCAACCTTAACGTGTAAGGTTACCATGGCCTTATCATATATAGTCACCACACCCTAACATGTAACCTCACCTCCATGGCGGAAGTTTTTAGTTCACCTTAGGTCTACCACAGCAATATCGTGTAACCTTATGTGCCTTACGATTAGTATTCAACATAACCTTACCTCATACTATTGTGCTATGTGGGATATATAATATTATATATATATATATATATATATATATATATAATATATATATAATAATATATAATATAATAATAATAATAAAATATAATATAATATAATATAATATAATATATATAATATATATAATATAATATATATAATATATAATAATAATATAATATATAATAATATATAATATATATATAAT